AAATTGCAGCAGAAGGAATCAGTTGCACCTTCAGACTTGCTCTTGGCATAGTAGTGTTTTTATCAACCACTCTGTTCCTGAATGTTTCCCTTGAGGTTTTGTGAACAACCTTGGTTTTCCCCTCTTTTCTGCCCTACCTGAAAATGCTACAAGATAAACAAAAAAACCCCTGGACTCTTGCTACAGAAAGAAGGAGGTACTTGTGTACTCAAGAATATTTTTTAAATAAAAACTGAGATGCTGCCTATAATTTTTTTTGTTATATTTGCCTTGTTCAAAGTACTGTTTGTTACCAAAGCCCAAGATAACTGACTTGAATAGGACTTACAAAGAGAGAAATGGAAAAATAATCATTATCCTTTAAACTACTATTATAAGCTTTCCTCTGAGTGTCTTGACTAAGTATATACGGTATAAAAATATCTGATAAAGTGAATGTTTCCAAACTCTTGGAGGTACTCCAAAGTGCTTTACAACGTAAATTTTGAAAGTAAAGACTCATGCCCCATCTATTCTTGGGGATCTGTTGCCCCACAAAGTGGGGAAAATATTCTTCAGTGGCATGACAAGTGTATGAATGTGGATTGGATAACTTGTAAGGTATTCCAGGGAAACTGAGGCAGGCCAAAGCTTGAAGGGAAATGCTGTACAGTTGGATACGTGAACTATGATTAGTGGCTCTTGAACCCTTCGATCAAAGTACTATCTGTGGAGATAGCGAGACTACTCATAGTTTCCACACTACAAGAGGGATTGCAAACAGGCATGAACTTCATGTTTCACCTAACACTTCTTTTCAAAGATCTTTTAAAATAATAGTTCTTTCCATGAAAAGAATATGCCAACAACATAAGCATGAAACCTGAAGTACCAGTTCTGGGTAACGCTGTATGAAAAAGTGCATTGCGAAATAATTTATGGTGGCTAAGGTGATACAGCTTCTGTGGCTAAAACTTTAAAAGATGACTTGCTCTAGTCCACACGGCAGGGCTTTGGCACATGAAGACAGATGTTTTCAATGTAGGACTGAAACGTGGTACATAATGTGTCAGTTTTTTGCTGCAAGCTCATTTGCTGGTTTGCTTCTTTCCTCTTCATTCCGTTTCTGAAACCTCGACTTTTTTAATATTTTATCCTTCCATTTCTTACAAAATTGTCAAAGAACATGAAATTAACTATCATGATGATGCAACATAAGCTTAATTTACTGCACGTATCTGAACTGATGGGTATTAAATTGCCATCGGTATAGAAGTGAGCTTAACTTCAGTTGTGGTTTGATGCGGTCGGGAAGGTCTCTATCCTGTTGACGTACGAGCAGAGATCGGTTGTTAACTGTTGCTGTTAGTCCTGTGGCGGTACAGCTGAGTAGTTCTCCAGCGTATCTCAGGATTTGGGCTTTTACAGTGTCAGAAAGCCTGTTGTTTACTGTCACCCAGTTAAGTGTGATGGACTTTTAGTTACCTTAGGATAAGCAGTCATTAGAAAAACAAAGAGAGCGCTATTTTATTGGACTGTATCATACTCTAACCCAGAGCCTAGCATGGTTTCACTATGTTATTATGTAGCATGTTTTTAATTTAAAGAATTAACTTTATTAGAAGATACAGTAGGTCTCTTTCCAAGACTGTAGGATTCCTGGTACTGGTAACCTGCAAGCATCAGCAGGCTTGGCTTTCTGCAGGATACAGGGATCTTTACCATTTTTTCCAAACTGGCAGTGCATCATCACAACAGGGTAACTATTCTGTATGGAACTTAAATCTGATTTAAGTTAAAATCTGTAAAGTTAGTCTTTTAGAAACTGACGTGTTTAAAAAAAAAAAAAAAACAAAAAAACAAAAAACCCCAACTAAAGAACTGAGTGGTAAATCGTGTTTTAGATTAATTACAACATATTGTTGATCAGGAAGTTGGTTTTAAATTTAAGTGCATATTGCACTGTTGGATTGTGTAAAGTGTAAATGCTTTAAATCTGCTATGTTTTGGATTATGTTGTCACAAATAGTCTTTGTATAACTATTTTATAAAGGCTGAAAATATAACTTTGTAAAATAATCCTGAATGAGGATGCAAGTCTTATTTTAAATACTTCTGCTCCTCTGCTTTTAGAGGAATGTAAGTCATACAGGTAAAAATTAAGATTTTATTTTAGACTGCGAAGAAAGTGGTGCATATAATGTATTCTTAGCTCTGTGTACTTTGCAGGTTTTATTACAGGAGGCCACTACTTGTATTTGTTTTGGCTAGTTTTTATGTATGATCTAGAACAAAAATCCTTGGCCAACAAGTATTTTGTTGGCACTAGCTGCATATAGCATTCATATCTAGCACACCGTACCTGGAGCCTTAATGGTTACTTCTGCATGCCTTACAGAACTTGGAACTTTCCTGCATAGACTTCTGAGAACTTCTTAGTTTGGTAATACAAAGATTATGAAATAGGCATGAAAAACCAAGGTAGGGATCAGTGAAGTTCTTGGATAGTGATCTCCCTACACACTGAAAGCCATGCCTCCTTGTATGAAGTAGCAAAGTTCTTCTGCTCTCCTATTAAGATAGGATTTGAAATACGCCAAGTTTGCCAAGACCCAAAGAACCGTCTAAGTTTTATCAGCATGATGGTCCTGCAATAAATTTTAAGCAATCGGAAAATCAGCTTACAAGAACAGCTGCGTTACACCTGAGGAACAGCACAGCCTCATTTAATTTCAGAAGTGCCTTGGCACAGAGCTATACCATTGCAGAACTCGGCGTGTTCATAAGCATCGGCCTTATTTGCCATTGTTAAACTAGTCCTAGAGGGTCCATCGTAAGACTTTGTGGTTCCCTCTGGAGGACAGAGTTGATCATAGTTCACCTTTTCAAAGGTCTCCAAAAGACCTGATTTCTGCCAGAGTACTGTTTCTCAACGGTACAGCAGGGAGGCAGTTCTCTCTCCCATTAGCGGTATGATGAAGGAAGAAAGTCATTGGTCCTTAATAATTAACGTCTGCTACAAAATAAGGTATGGTGCCTGTTCAGGCAAGGCACAGCTTGTGACCCAATTGTAGCTAGTGCAGTAATGCTTTTCCAGCGTTAATTCTCTAGTTCTGTCTCTGGCAAAAGCCATCTATTTGCATTCCTTGTGTGAGAGGCAGGGAGTCTCACTGTTAACCTTGCGTAGCGGGGAACAACTAGTAGAAGATAATACTAGTTATACTTCAGGCAAGGAGATTTAATTTTCAGCATGCTTACGTCATTCATAACATCTTCTGTTTCTCTCTTGTATATCACATGCAAGAAACACATGCACCTCTTCAAGAAACAGCTGCTGGTGTGTGTGATGTTAAACGAAAATGAACAGAGAGAATACGTGTCCTATGCAATGCAGCAGAATGTTTATTAAACATTATTTATACAGGTATGAACACTTCAAAATAGAATTGGTATTCCTCTGCGGTAGGACCTGCATAGCATTTTAGTTTCATTTCCTTTACAGCTGATGTGTATTTTATCAGAAGGCCTGAAAGCTACGCCTTAAGGAACAAATTCTTATTGCATACAGAAGTTCATAGAATAATGCAGTACTGTTTTGCAGTCACCAGTGAGGTAAAGTAATCCTTGACAGAATGCCGAACTTGCAAGGAAAACTTCTGTAGTTTCCTTTGCTGATAAAATAACTGGTTTTGTTTTAAAAGTGTTCTTTCATTAGACCTGATAACAGCACTAGTTATCAGAACAATGTGTTAAGAAAGTAAAAAAAAAACCAAACCAACTAATAAAACCAACAACCCATATCAATAGTAGTAACACTGATCAATAATATTTTGTACCGTCGAAGGACAACAGGACACAGAGAATGCTCTGTCACTGTGTTCTTCAAGTATCTAATCTCAGGAATAAGTTTTCTACACTTCAGCTGTCAGTTCTTAAATAAAATTGATGTTTCCAAACATTCTGGTTTTGCTATTCTTGGCATTCTTGTCTGGTTTTCCTAATTAAAACCTCATGCATCAAAATACTTCACCACATTCTTTTCCTACATTTTGGGGTTTTTTTTATTGATTTGCTGTCAGTTAAGTATCTGTCTTGTTTACTTTCCCATAGAACAAAAAAATGCGTTAACAATTATGTAGTAAGCTATCATCTGCCATCTCACTTAACAGCTGAGGTAAGAAAGTACCACCTTAAGAGGTGGAGAAACTGAGGCAAAGGACTGACATTCTTGCCACTGATCTGTATGCCACCGGTGAAAACCAAGATTCCATAATTTCTCAATCTTAAATTCTGCCATACATGCTTTCTAAATGAAATTATCCTTAAATATTACTTATGCTGATTCGTAAATGTGATGTAACGCATTGTTAAACATTATAGTCCCTTTTTACCAACATACTAAAAAATAATGAGTTCTTTTAACTAGAATAATATTTCTTCAAAATACTCTCATTATGTTGTTTGTCTATATTACTAAGGTCCTTTCAAGTCTGTTTATATTAAAGTGCTTAGTCGTCAATGATTTTCAGTCACCTGAATTCAGAAGTTACATAAACTCTTCCAGAGAAGTCAGCTGCCAAACACAAGCAGCTTATGTCCATAAAGGCCGTATCTCTTTTTTGCTGCAGTCATCAAGAATTTCACTATTGTTTTCAAGATTTGACTGCTGAAGCATAGAACTGACTAGTGCAAATGCTTAGGCACAATTTTGATTAAAATGCATACATTCTTTTTCTGTGCGGAGGCAATACAATGGCTTATAGCTTACTCCATCAGTAGGCATTCCAAAGAACCTTTAAAAGGCGCATGTCTGCAAAACATTTGGCAAAAGAACAAGACAAAAGATCCCATATCCTGTTTTACAGCCTAGTACAATTAAAAAGAATTGTCCAACGTGCTTTTGGAGAGTATACTTAAAACGAACAGAGCTAAAGCATTAGTTCTGTTGATACTTGGCCTGCCTCCAGAATTCTACTTCAAGTAGTACAAGGCTTCAGCAGTGTACCACCTAACAACAATAGCTAATATGTTGCTTCATCCATATTGTCATCACTGCCAGCACCAAAGTCATCTCCATCTTCAAAATATGAAGAAATGTAGTCATTTTCCTAAACAAATGGAAAAAAAACAGCTATTACTGTATATGTGGAGGAGACAATTTATGAATGAAACATGCTTTTAACTGCACTTGAGCACCCATGTTTTGAAACAGTAATAGGAATTTTTTTCTTCTGATATTTCTTGGGAAAGAAAAAGGAAAATATTGTAACAAAGTTCTGATATCTATGAAAGAAGAGGCATCACTGGTTTAGTGATATATGTATTGATTGTGGCAGGACATGTTCCTGCATGCAACACCTTTTTTCAGAGCTCTTTGGGAGTAACAAATCTAAAACACTCGCTTATATTAACTACAACGCAATGTAGTGCAACAGAGAAAACTAATGTAGAAACACCTCTGACTACAACTCTCCCTCTGCATCAGAGAAGCTAGGGACATTTCTTTGGCTGACAGCCAACACACTACTCAATGACTGGGACCTGACTTTGTGTAAATGGGAAAACTAACGTTATACCTCTTCATGTTCCTCTTCATCATATTCCTCTGGTTCTTCTGCTTCTTCATCATCTTCACCTTCTTTGTCTTTTGCTTTCTCTTTCTCATCTTCAGATTTTTCTTCTTCATCATCCTTCTTTTCTAACTCCTGTCACAAGGCAATCTCCTTTACAAGGTAGTTCCATCTTGGAGCAAGAGCATATCCTCCACACTACCAAAATCTTATGCTGCAGTTAACAGCAAGACAACTAGCGTAACAATGCTGTGCAAATGTTTTTGGTGAATATTTAAAAAAACATGATGTGAAACATGACAACTTCGTAAGGACTTACTTTGTCAAGCATTAGCCATCGGACTTGAAGTCTAAAAAAGTATGTCTTGTGTAATAAATTGAGATGATTTCCCTTTACCATCCACTGTTAGAATAACTGACAGTAGAAGGCCATATCATACTTGATAAAGCAACACCACCTACTGTATATAATAAGGCATCTGCACCAAACAACCGATGGATCACCAGGAGAAAAAAACACAAGGCTGTTACACCTTTAAGCTTCCCATTCCCACATGGTGGATAGTTGCCTCCAAAACTGAGGTCACTTTCCTCCTAAGTTTCTCTTTCTGTATGTTTCTTCCCTCATTATTTAATTTCCAACATTGGCAGACTGGCAAAAACATCGATAGATTCAAAAGCTCGGGCACCAATTCCTCCTTCAATAAGCTCTAAGAGTAGCTCTGCTGTTCACAATTAGGCTGCATCGCTACCCAGTGAAGAACAGCTGGTCATTTTTTTCAGCATCAAACAAGAGCAAACAAAATTCTTTCTCCACAGCCAGGCTCTATCCTTATCCTATGCCTTGTGCTATGACACTGCAGAACAGTTGTCTATCAGAGTAAGAAGACAAGACCAGAAAAGGGCTGCTCTGCATTTGTACCAAAAAAACATTCTACAGGTTTTATTCTCCTTCATCAATTTCTGTTGTACCATTTAGAAAGAGTATGCACATCTTACCTCAATTTTTTTCAACACATCCAGATTACTTTTAGGCTCAGAGCTTTTTGCCTTTTTTGGTTTTGCACCTGCTGAAATAAAATACATCACTATTATTTCTTTAATATGGAAGAACACAAATTCTCCTGTTTTACTTGCTCTTAACAGCTTAGGTCTTGAGTATGCCATGGAAATCCCATACCATCTGTATTAAAATTACCTTAGACTTTGAGCTACATCATTCATGGAAGTGTAAATGTCCAATTTATGTAAGTGATGCCTATAGGGCCAGTATGACATTCACTGTGAACGCATAGTTGACCAAAGGTTTGGCCAAAGTATGACGTTCAGCTTCACAAGATACTTTTCACCTACATACTTGCAATATGTTAAGAAACTAGAACAAAATCTCAATTGTTATTGTTCATCATCTTGAAAAGATAAAAACTCATTAATGTTACTGATTTATGCAACACATTAAGGACAGCTGAGTGCTTCAGGTAGGTAAAAAAAGGCAGATGTTTGTTAGCTCCAACACAGCAGGCATGGTTACTGCAGCTAGATGGCTTTTGGACCACAGCTGGCTCTCATCTAATGAGTCTACTGCGTATCTCCACCTAGTGCCTTGATTCACGAACCTAATCTTTATCAAGTTCATCCCTACAATCCAAGCAGAACACTAAGAGCCGTCAAAAGCATTTGTCTTAAATAACATTCAGGTCATTTGAGTGTTTTGCCTACGAAAGGATTATGTGACAAAAGCACTGCACAGAGCGGAGGGGAGTCAAGCTGCTCTGTAATAACATATGAACGGTGTCAAAGCAAACACATCCAGAATGAAGTAGGCTTTTAAGAAAAACAAGTGGAAAGTGCAATTCAAAATTATCATCTCTGCACAAACCCCTGCAGGCTTTTAGAGACAATGCATATCGAACAAACAGCCTGGAAATGAAAAGAGACATGCAAGATCTTTCCTTAAATGCTGGAAAAATGCTCTCTGGAGCTTATCATAAAATTAGAGACACTGACCCACCGTTAGCAGAACTTCAAGCAAAATAGCTCCTTACATCCACATAGCTGAGAAGTGCAATGGAATACAATCTAATCTTTCCAAATACCTGTTCTTGCAGTATTTGGTCTTAAATGCATACCTCCAATTGCTATATACATATGCATATAGCTGGCCTACAAGAGCTGAACCCAGTCAATGCTTTTTATTTTGGCAGGTGTTGCTGGTATATAGGATACTGTGGTCCACAGCCCAGGGTAAGTGTGGGAGAGATGCCGAATTCTACCCAAGGTTTTGTCACTAAGAAGGCAGGTGTTCAGCTCTTAGGTTAACACATTCAGGGAAAGCAGAAAGGGGGAGGGGGAGGTGTGTAAAAATGAAGCCGTCCCTGTAATGTAACTCCGTAGTCATCTCAAAACCACTCCTGTAATCTACAGAGGTAGAATGGTAGGAAGCTTGTTTGAATTGCTGTGCAGATTCTCTTGATTCCCTCACCTTTGTTCCACTCAGTTATAAAGCGTCACCAAAGATGGCTGTCCTCATAATACAACAAAGATAAATACCAGAAGGGCTAATGTGTCACTGATCAGCTATTTACAAATCTCCTGAGTCATATGACTTTCGTATGGCCTGTGTATCATCAGGATTCCCCAAAAAAACTAAAACCACATTATTTTTGCTTTTAGAGGAATCTATTTTTTTAATCCAATTACATTCTGATGGTCAGCTGACTTTGCCATCACAACTGCGTAAGAATATGCACTTTTAAGAGCAAATACAGAAACTAGCACAAAAGGAAGAGGAAAAATCTCCCACAGTGAGCACTGATTCTCTCTGTGTATAATAATCACAACGTTATCGTAACAAGGAACAATAAATCAGCATTTATGATTTCATTGGATCTTGGAGCTAATTACTGCATATAGGCTTTTAAAAGCCAATGCAATTTCTTGTGAAAAAGAACAACTAGATATGTACTCGTTTAATCTTTTGAGATCTTGCAAATAAGTATTTAATTTTCAGTTGAATCTTGCAGTCTACCTTTAGTGCCACACTTCTCAATGACACTCCTAAAAGGAACAAAGCTTCCAGCTGAGCCAGTCTCCATGACTACTGCACATTCCCTTTTCTATTTTATCCTTGAACTGAAAAATGACACATGAAGGACTTGGACAAAGAGAACAAGAAAGTAAACAATTATATATAACAGACAGCTAGATACAGGAGGCCAAGTGTTATTTCACATCAACAGAGCAACAGACTTCTACAGAGAACTTAAAATACAGTCATGCATACTAGAGAACACTTTGAAAAACAAATACACGTATGATGCTGTGTAATAGAAAAGTTTTTTCCTGTAAGAACAACCAATACCAGCTCCAACTGCTGTTGAAGGATCTGGTTCACAATTCTGCAGAAGAAAGCTGAAAATAAACAAAAAAAGTAAAACCAGGGAAAATAGAAAATAACCTGCATTAAATCACATATAAAAGGCTTAAAAAAGTGCAAAAGTCAACCAAATCATAAACAAGGTAATTGAGAAACCCAAAATATAAAGGAAATCTGAACAGCCAGCTATTCATTGAATAGAAGAAGGTTGAGTGTTGACTAAAGATAACACACTTTCAAAACAAAAAGTTTTGTGTTTTTTTTAAATCTGTCACTGTTACATATCTGATACGTTAACATGGTACATCAATATGAAAGGCAGGAAAGGAAGATAAATCTATTCCAGTAAGTTAAAACAACCTACAGAAGCAAAGCAAAAACCACAAAAGACAGGCAGACCAGTAAATTATTTAGAAAAAAATCTGCCAAAAGCCCTGATTATTCAGACTAATTAACATTTCTACCTTTTTTTTTTTCCCTAAACAGCTCCAGTATGTCTTCTATCACTCAACTGGTATATACTAAATGCTTTTCAAAAATATATACCTTTTTTGGTCGTCTTCTTTGGCTTCATCTCTCTTGGGAGTCTTCTCCAATCTGTATAGAAAATAGCTTTATCTATAGATGAATGATCCTCCCGCTGCCACCCACCGAGGAATGGCAGGGGCACCTGTTATGCTTGATCCTATTTACATGCATGCACAGAACAGTTCTATAGAATTCTAGCTGTAATTTAAATTGAGGAACTGGAGAGAGGACTGGCATTTCACCCACTTAATGCGAAGTGGCATCTTCCCCAAAGAGACAAAGTTCAGCCTTTCCAGTGGCCCACATGAGCTTCATTCGATAATTAAGTTCACAGTAGTAAGCTATACAGGTATGGTTGTGGAAGTTTAATGTTGTAAAACCCAGCTACCTGTGACTGATACATCAGGCTGGGTTATTTTTAGTAACATCGATGTTTGCTCCCAGTTCAAAACTGGTATCTGCATGGCAAATAAGGAAGAAGGAAATCTAGAGTGAGAGCTCCAGCTTGCACTTCTGCTGCAAATCAGTTGTTTCAACTTAGTAAATTAAAAAAATCAGGGGGTTTTTTCCTTCCTTTTTTTTTTTTTGTTGGACAAAACAATACTTTGCCTGGATCTGAAAACATGCAAAGGGCATTAACCCTCAACAAGGAATACATGACTTGGTAAGGCTTTGCATACTTTTTTATTGCTTGAAAAATAATGAATCAAACATTTAAAAGAGCAGAACATTTCACAGGTTAATAAAGAATTAGCCTTTGATAATCACAGATATTACCTGGGGTCCATGCTGCATGCTCCTTTTCTCTGTCCTGGTACTTTTTACTGTACCTCTCAATTGCTATAGAGATGGATACAAAGAGAACTGAATTCATTTAATCAAAAAGGCAATCCAGACACTGTCCTTTATTTTCTTGTAACTAAATATACAGTCTATTTTTTTAATCCCACACTGAATGCTTTCTTGTGCTGTTGTCAAACACTTAAAACAGTTTACTGTCACTACTTTGAGCAATTTTTGTAATTTACACTTCTATCCTCGGAAAGCATGAAAACATAAAGTGCAGATATAGTCAGGGAAACTACGTTGAAACATCAAATGAACACAAGACTCTTCTACTCTTCAACAGTTTCACAATCAAACCTTTGCCACAAAACCAGTCAGCGACATTTATCACCACTGTGCTAATCCCAAAGAATATCCAGAATTCACAGGTCTCAGAAGGCTGTGTCTCAGACCAACCATGATCATCTCCCAAGACTTTTAAGTACTTCTGCAATGGCAAACCTTAGCAGCATAACAGACGTGTCCTGAACAGCAGCAACACATTTTCGTCCATTTAACCTCTTTCCCAGCACAAGAACTAAACTGAGAAATGCATTGTAAACCATACAGTAGTTATACAGTGTAAGTACATCCATTTATACTGCAAAACAACTTTATTGAACAATCTCTAATAACAAAAGCAATATCAAAACTTCAGTATTTTTAAATCAGTTGCATTTTTTCTTACCAAATTACTATGCCCAAGTGTGAAATCCACTTCATGCAAAATTATTGATACTGACTGCACTATTAAGTCATTACCCAAACAGGGATGATTTTTGTGGGTATTATACAAAAACTGGTAACAAAGACAGACTGTGACCTTTGCAGTCAAAGATTTCTAACATACTCACCAGAGAAAAGGAAGGGAGAAGGAAGATATCAGAAATGAACCCTAATTTTAAACTTAAATACGACAAGGCCAAGCAGAAGACCTACCTAAAACTGTGCAACAAGGAGCTGGCATTAAAATGACAGTGCCTCAAGGGGTATTTAATGTAGGTGGCCTTCACAGGTGCTGTAGGAAACTGTCACCACAGAGAGGGAAAGAAACTAGTAGTTTTGGTTTCAGCTTGAGGCTCTCCAGTGAAGAACTAATTGCTGATGCCATCAGTGAAAAAAATACATTTGACTTACTCTTGCAACTCACAGTTAATGAATTAATTCCAAACCACTGCCAAGGTGACAGTCACCCAGTCATAGCAGATACACCTACAGGAAAAAAAAGGAATGATTCTTAGCTTATGAAGTGAGGAAAATAGAGAACTTACTATAGAACACACCTGCTGCTCACTCAAAATGAGTGTTGAATGAATGTTGAAAATCTATTCTATATGGCACAGTAATGCATTGAAATTGCCAGGCAGTATTAGACATGGCTTTCATTTACTACCTGAATAATGAAAGAAAGATAGACGGCTATGTCCTAACTAATTACAATGTTTCCCTTCTCACACTTCAAAGGACCATTTGGCTCACAGATGTTGTGCTGAGGGTTTAAAACAATCCATTGCTCTTGTAGCAAAGCCAATTTAAGAACTTCCTGCCCACAGTCCCACTCCTGCCTCTTAGTTCTACTAGACATTTTGATGAAATACAGGGGAGCAAAGTGCTGTAAACCAGGTAACAGAAAAGATCAGTTAAAAATAATCTACCCTGAGGGAAGAAAGCAGTTTCTTAAAGCTAGGCTACTTCTGCCACATAATGCAGTCCCAGAGACAACTGCATACTGTGACTGAGATGAAAGCAAGCTTTTTAAGTTGCAGACCACCGCTGATGTAATTATACTCCACCCCTCAGATGAGGCATTTTTGTACAACTAACGGTTCAGTAAAAAGTTACAAGTACCAATTTACCCTTGGGGAGGTGATGAGAACATTTGAAGCATTATTTGAGTGTATCAAATGGCTGTCTACCTGCTTTCCCTGCAACTGCCAGTTTTTGTAGAAAACCAGTCCTCAAAGCTGGCAGTTCTACTAAGGAGCACACTCAGCAAGAGAGAGACATCGCTCCGCCTCAGAAAGAAGGCTGCAGAAACAAAGACTATTTTGAGGTGAACAGTAAGAACAATCATGTGTGGCAAAGTTGGGAAAGAGAGATAATACGTTCTCACAAAGTGGCTGGTTCCTTTGAAATAACCCTGACCAGCTCTCAGGCATAGCAATTTCCTTTTTTATGCCTCGCATGGAAACAGCAAACTTCAAGCCTGACAAAGATCAAGAGCGCGGTGAGCCTCTAGTGAGATGAGAATCCAAAGAGATTTAAATTTGTTTACTCAGAAGATGAAAGAGGAGAAGTGATAAAAGAGTAATTTGGAATTCTTCTACCATCATAAACAGATCTAGAAACAAAGATCAGATCTGTTCTCCTTGCCTCATAACCAAGGTTTTACCTGGCCACACCGTCAGAGTCCACCCTGGGCAGTGCTTGTGCTGCACTACAGCTGCCTGCTGCATCCTGGTGACGGCTGGGCTCCAGCTGCAGGTCAGAGGAAATATTCTGCCTTTTGTGAGCCGCAACGTCTGGTTGGCAGTGTGTTCACTGCTCACACTGCAGAGTGCTGCTCCATTTTAAACAGTGCTTTAGTACAAGAACAAGTGGACAATCAATAAAATGTGTTAATCAGTGTCACATTCAAAGCCTAGTAAAAAAAAAAAAAATTGCACACAGTCTCAAAAACCTCTAGAATTCATCACTACATTATGAACAAAAATTACCAAAAATTCAGAGGGGATTGGACTATGTACCTGTATCATACTGACATCATGAATATACGGTCAGATAATATTTTGATGGTTTTGGAGTGCAAATTAAACCTCACAATTTAGGGTTCAAGTCAGCTTTCATTATTCAAAATCAGCACACGACAGCAAGGAAAAGATTATCCAGTGTTTACCCACTTTCAATTTCTTAAACATTTTTATAAAGCTTTTTAGCAACTACCTATTGCACTGACTGGGCCTAGGGTCTGACATGTGGCATTACCTAATATGTTTTATTTCCTATTTTCCTGTAACAGCACTTGCCATTTACACCATTCCGAACAAGCACTCAGCAGGATGACAGAACTAGCCAAAAATCACAAATGAAAAGAAGCACTCCTCACAGTAATAACCTCCTGTGAATGCTACATTTACAATACCTCCACAGCAAGGTAAACAGACATTAAAGTCTTCCTAGCCTGCTCCCCCCTCCTTCTTTCCCACTACCTCAGTTTTCTGACCAGGAAGCTTGGATTTTAACAGTATCATGATGTATGACTGGATGTCAAGTATAGCAAAGCATTTACTGTTATCATAAAATACCAAAGCGGTTAATTTTTCATTACATATAAGCAAAAGACATTCTTAGGTCAAGTAGAATAAGACCAAGCTTTGACTTCTAGTCCAGCTCTGCTTCTGGTTCTGATGCAAACCTCAGTAAATTGCTTATCATCATCTCAATCTTCGTATTTCAGGTGACTTGACAGTTATACTTACCCATCCTTCCTGAATGGACTTAGGGGGGAAAAAAATTAGGACCTTAAATATAACATTGATTATTTTAAGTATGTCTTTACACAATTAAAATGGAAGCTGAATTTCAATGCTACTATTTACCACAGACTTCTTTGCTCCCATGCAAAATTTTTAGGGTACTTTAACACACATAAATGCTTATTTCATTTGCATTGGTAGGATATAATTGAAAAGACTGCATATAGTTGATCTAAATGTTTCTTACTGTATATCAAATGGAATAGATGTTTGATACCTCTTTCTCCACACGGTAGCTGCTTTGCAGTTACAGTCCTTGTGGGTGTGGTCTACAACTTCAGTAAGTGTCGAAGCAGAAAAATTCCTTATTATCTTAAGCTGCCAATTTTTATTTCTCATTATCAGTACAAAATACATCTTCAACACATGCATTTCACTATGTCATCCTTCACGGAATAATAATGACTGAGGATATAAATAAAAATAAAAAGCACACAAACAAACCTTCATGATCTTCTTCTACTGCCAAAAAATATGGCATTTTTTTCATAGTTCCTCTAAGATCTTGTTTTAAGGCCAACATGTAATCTTCATCTTCTCCTGTTTTCAGAGGCACTGGCTTATTGTCTGTACTCTGTACAAATTATTTTTATTATTTATAAGGTCTTAATATCCATCAGTTATACACAAACACTAAGAAAAGCTACAATAAACACAGTTAATCACAGCAGAGCGCAACTATGCATTATGCTACTTCTCAAGTATATTCTATTGCATTCTGACATGCATAACTATGTTTACAACTAAGTTTATACTTTTTATGATGTCACTATATCTTTCTGCAAAAACGTATCAAGAAATCAAAAAAAAAAAGTATTAAAATTGTGAAATAGTCATTCATAGTCATGCTAAACTCTTAATTGCCAAAAGCAGTTTTTCACACCAGCCTAACTTACTCAGAAACCATTTCTTCTCTCTTCAGCTAGAGCAGCGCTGGCTTTAAGCTCTTCTAATACAGTGTTTTAACATTATGTATGATTACTCTGAATAACATGGATACCCTTTTCCTGACGTCACAGAAACAGGTTGTATTGCCATACAACCAGGTAGCACACAGGCCCTCACACAATTCAGTTTCTGTCAGTTGAATTTAAATTAATTGTTAAGGTGTTGGTTTTTTTTGAACTATGAATTTTGAAATTGGGAAAGATAAATGAGTGAAAACAGTTTTAAAAATATACAGAACACTAGAGTGAGAGACAGAATTACAGAATGGATGATGTTTCTCTCACACGACAGATGGTACACAATCAATGCCTGAGTGGTAGGCTGCAAAGCATGAAGCGCTATCACAGTCCCAGAGCTGGATCATGAAAAGAGTTTACGTTTCCAGCTCTATTTGCTAGCTGGACAACATTTTAAATCACTGATGTTGCTGATGGTAAGCTGATGCTCCTTAATTGGGTTTCTAATTGCATTTACAGGAAATTCCAAAGAACTCAGAATGTGTCTATTAGAAATATCCAATAGCAACAATTCACTGCTTAAAATAATTTCAATTTAAGTCAGTCAACAGCTGTAATATACTTTTGGTCACTGCTCAATCATTAAATCTAATTCTTGAAATTTTTATCAATCCTAGTCACAGAAGGAACAAAGCATCTTTAACTTCTCCATGGTATAGATTAGATATACTGGAGCTAGTAATTCTCCTACAAGGCTGAACCACTGCTGACTGTAACTGCAGAAGCTGTAGTTCACACAGAATTCCGTTTCCTTGTGCTATCAAGCAGACTGCAACATTCACATTAGGAACAGTCAGAGATGGCTTCGTATCAATGAAATCACAGAACTTAATTGTAAAGGTGGACTAAGAGGCTATGTAACATCTGGTTCAGTAAGTCAAAACCTTGGGTGAAATAACTATTCAGAGAAATCTCAGCATAGCACCAATTGTATGTCAAACTTGCAAGCTCTGTATCACAACGTGTGAAATGACAGAGAAATTTCATGCACCTTGATCGGATCCTGACATAACTGGGAAGTTCTCTTATATAAAACTGTGACATTGTAAGACTACTCTTCCGCCTTAAAATTGTCCAAGCTTCCCTGCATGCCAAAACGCGGTCAGAAAATGCTCTTTCTTCCCCTTTAATTTTCAAATACATCCCAAATACCAAATCTCAATTTAGTTTCCTTAATTACATAAAATATCTTTCAGTTACTTTCAAATTATGTTCAAATGCTAGCTACTGAGGTATAAGACAATCACCCAAAGTCTTATGTTTCCATCTACAGTAAATTTCTAAAATCAGCAAATCCATTAACAGCTTCAAAGACTAGTGTAACTTTCATTTCAAACAAATTCAGATATCCAATGTTTCTGCTACTGTAACATCCAGAAAACCAAATCATGATGAGGACTTTAACGAACGAATATCTTGCAAGGAATCTAGTTAAACACTGGATACAACAGTTAGCAAAGGGACAGGAAGTAATAATAAGAAAAACGACGATTTACGTTAAATACTTCAAAACTGACCTAAAGTGCTTAGGGTTGTTCAGGTATTTCATTACCTCATCTAAAGTTGAGAGTGAATACACTTTACCTGAACAGAGAGTGTGCTCTAAGATACTTGCTGTACTTACAGGAAATGGTGGTGGAGGCTTACACACGACATCAGGTAGAGCTGCACCTTTAGTAAAGCCAATAGCCTCAATGTTGAAGGTAAACGCAGCACGTCCTCTTCCTCTACCTGACCCAGCCATTTGGAGTTACTGAAAATATTACAGATTGTTAAAGATTTTTTTTTGTTACATATTTCAAATGTATGTATATATCACCTACAAAATTAACATCTAACAAAGGTTACAGTAATTTTGAAACCAAAGATCATTTTGAATAACAAGCCATTTTTAATGCCCTTCTTGGGTTCTTCCACATACTATAAATTCGGTACATGCCTAAAATCAATGCCATTCCCTCATTTCTGCTAGCCACCTCTGCATGCCTGAAATTACCTCCTAACCTAGGAATTTTCAACTTTTTTTCTTCTCAACTTTAGATGCACTGACTTGAGTTCAATCATGGTAGAAGAACCAGAAACAAGGAAAAAAAAAAAAAATTTGAAGCCCCTGAACTTTCTGTGAATACATTTTGCAGATTCTGAACTTTTCTCAAAAAAACTGTTTGTGTTTGTTTGAGACTCGTCGCTTCTTCGTCCCTTGGATTATTTTTTTCCCTGTATCTTTGTAACTAGTTTTGGGTACTGGTAAAGAGCCAAAAGCAAAGAGGTTCAAGGTAAAAGCGTCAAAGGACTCTGGAATGTCTGCAAGCCAAATGCTGAAAAAAGGAGGGTGTTTCTAACTAAAATATTTCATCAAGGATATAAAATAGCCTGCAAAACTGCATTTACAGTCACATCTCACGACCTTCACTGTTAAGCCAATCTTAATCTCAGGAATGTATCACCCATGGGTTGACAAGTAAAGCAAAATGTGAGAAACACGTATTTTGCAGGGAAGATGTCAAGAAATGGGACCCAAGAGAAGCCCAGTTGAAGCAATGTGCTACTGCTCCCTCCCCAAGACCACATAAAGATCAATTCAAGGCCTCAGCCCAGAAGTCCCATGTGCTGTTTACCATTAATTGCAAGGTCACTGTATTGCACCCTGCTTCGTAAGAACGTGTCTGTTCCAGACTTACTGCTGTACCTGCATCATAACATCTATTCCCACCATTAGCGTGCGGGTGAGGTAACAAGTTCAAACAGGAAATAAGAAACAGCATAATACCTACAGCTTCTCATATACTTCTCTAAAATAACAAGGAATCCAGGAGAGAATTATGATTAGGAGCAAAGAAATGCATACTTAAGACTAAGATCTTAAGACTAAGATCTTTTAAGATTCCCCCAAAGGGAAGCAATGGCTTTTTTCTTAAATGCCAGTGAGAAACAGGTTGATGCAAGTATTTTCCTACTTATTATTTTCAACAGGAATAAGCTCTGCCTGGATAAAACAAAATCACGTTATATATTTCCACATCGCTCAGCAGCACAGAAAACTGTCTAAAAATAAGCAAAGAGACCCAAATAAATCATTTGAAGAAAGACAACAAAGCAAAAGCTAAACCTGAGCATTTAATTAACTGGAAATAAAAGAACTGAAAAAAGAAATAGCAAACTCATTTGAAAACAGGATGAAAAGCAAGATGTGAGCCTTGCAGAATGGAGAGACAGAAAAGATACAGTAAGGCCCCAAACACAAGCAATTATATTATGTAGGTGTGAAAAAAGGGAAGCAACAACAGAAGAAAACAAAAAAAAAGTTCAGGGAGATGTCTAGCTAGCAAGGAGAGGCACACTGTTTGCATTAAATACAGTGAATATAAAGGTCCATTTTTAAAATGCTGCTTTAAAATTAATTCTTGGTAAGATTCCCTTGTAATAGTGCATTAGTCTAATGAAAAATAACAAGCTTTAAAATGAGTGGTATTTCAACTCCACATCTTTCCTGAAACTCATGATTCTTTCAAGCATACCAGCTTAGAAGGTTTATGTCTACTGACACCATGAAGTGACAGTGGTAGACGATCAGAGAAATCGTGAAGGAAAAGTTGAATTGTACAACTAAGTCACCACGCATGACAAAGTTACCACGACAACTAGTGTGTTGGCTGCCACGAGGGATGCCTCATGGAGCATGCGGGCGCATTTTCGTGTTTATGGATAGTCTGTGTGTCGTTTACTCTGCAAATGGGAAGGAGAGTTTCAGATTTAAGCTTTTTTAATTCCTTCAAAACTACGCACGCTGTTGCTCGGGCAGTCAGTCGGAGGAAGGCCGCAGAGCCCTTCAGGAGGCAAAGGCCTGTGGAAACGGGGTCCCCGCTGCCCGCGAGGCGGCTGGTTGCGATGGCGGCGGGCGTGAGGAGGCTCGGCACTCGGACGAGTTGTCGTTATTGTACGTACGTTTTCCTCAGAACAAAACTCTCGATCGTGTTGGGACCCTTGATTTCCAGAGACAGGTGCAATCGGTGGAAGGGAATTGCAGATAAAGGAGAAAGGACTGAAATTTAAATACTGAGATTTTGTGGTCGTTTTATTTTTTTTTT